GTATTCTGTTTGTTTCTTATATTGCTGGTCTAGGGATTCTATCTTTTTGTTTAGTTCCTCCAATTTTTTATCTGTGTTTTCTTTAGATATATTCAGAATCTCTTTCATTTTTTTTATCATTTCTTCTTTTACCTGGGAGATTATTTCCAGTTTGAATTTCTTTAAAGCTTCCTGGGGTTTCTTGTTAATTTCAGTAGCTATTGTGTCCGATATTTGAGGTCAATGGGATATATTTTCTTCTATATACATTGCTCCTAGGGTTTTTTTGAGATGGGCTGGAGGTTTGAGGTTGTAATTTGGTCTTTCGTTTTGTCATTTTCCTATATTTCTGTTTCAAGTGTTATTTGAAAGCTTCCTCAGGATCTGTTGGAAATCCCCTTCTATATTTGCAGCTACTGAGACTCTGGCACCACGCTATCCTACGCCACTGGGCCTGCGGAACCAGTGGCCCTCCTGTGCCTGCTCAGAACTCCGCAATTCCAGACAAGCTGCGCCTCAGGGATACTGTGTGCCCACCTGCCCCTTGGAAGCTCCACAGCTCTCCAATCGCAGCTGGGATGTGGAGGCAGATGTAGACCCCTCAAACCCACCTCTCCACTTACTGCACCCAGAAGCCTGGAGGGACCCAAACAGTCGGGGCTCTGGGCAGAGTGCGCTGAGCACTCACCACAGGCTGCAGGGTCTCCGGAACCCGTGATGCTCCACCGCCTGCCGAGACATCCACAGTCCTCCAGACACACGGGGAGGCCGATGCAGGAGCTCCGGATCCACCCAGCCCCTCCTCTGCACACCAATGGCCAGGTGCGGGAGGCCCAAACAGGCTGGGCTCCGGGGATAGCGTGCGCCCTCCCACCCGTTGGAAGCTCATCAGTTCTCCAAGTGCAGCCGGGATGGGGACTCGGATGTAGAGGCCTCAAACCCACTTCTCCACTTTACTGCACCCGGCAGCCTGGAGGGTCCCGAACAGTCTGGGATTTGGGCAGAGTGTGCCGAGCACCCACCACAGGCCGCGGTTCCCTCCGGAACCCGCGATCCCTCCCTGCCCGCCGAGACATCCACAGTCCTCCAGACACACGGGGAGGCCGGGGAGGCCGACGCAGGTGCCCCAGATCCGCCCAGCCCCTCCTCTGCACACCGATGGCCAGGCACAGCAGTCCCAAACAGGCTGGGCTCGGGGATCTAGTGAGACACTGTCTTTAAAAACAAAAATCCTATTTCTAAAACAGTTTTGAAAATAAAAATGACAACTGCAACCATGTGGGCTGGGAGGAGAACCAAGAAGCCAAACCTTTCCCATGGGTCAGCCAGCTCATGTGCTGGGATACAAGAAGAGTTGAATCTCCCCCTATCCTAAGCAGCTGGCTGATTTAGAGAAACAGAGGCTAAGATGATAGCTACTGAAGTAAAAGCAACTTAATGCTTGTACTGTTAGATTGACTTTGCAGGCCTAAAACCGCTAGTCTGAGCATCTGTTTAGAGGATAACAATAAAGCAACTATGGGGGGATTTCGTTCTGTCTTGTTTTTGAAATCCAGTATTGTCCTCTCTGTTTGATTTGGTTCTATTTTATTGTTTTATTTTAGTCCTTTTAAAACAAAACAAAACAAAACAAAACAAATCAAATCAAAAGAAAAATGATAGTAACTTTGGCACCACTGTGCTATGCTAACCAAATTTAGTGGGCAAAGCAAGTTGTCTGCAAGATGTTCCTCTGGGCTGATGAAAGTATTTGACCCAACAGGGTTATGTTAGCTGAGAACAAAAGCAGAATCTCTGTAATATCACAGTAGATTATAAATAAGTTGGATATGTGTTACCTTGTGATGGTCATTTTGCTTTAAGTGTAGGAGAGGTAGGAAATATCTATTAGAGACTTAAATTTATAACTGATTTATATAAGAAAGGAGTCTTAAGAATGAATAAGAAGATTCAGCACAGGATGGATTCCTGAGCATTTAAAATGAGCCAGGAGATATTTTCAAAATATTTTTCCTTTGTTCAGTGATCTATTAAACATGATACAGCTATGAGGCAACCACCTTTAAGTCCTTTTCCAAATACTAGTTTTCATTCTCATAAATCTTATGTGAATGTAATAAGCATATACACAACTTGGAACTTTTATCTTTATTCAACAGGAAGCTGAAGCATAATAAGCTTAAGCATGGATCGGCAGGGGTCAAAATTCAAACCCAGGCCACTTAATCTTGTCTCACTGACTGTGCTGCCGTCAGACCATCACTGCAGCCCCACAGGGCTGGCAGTGATTGTCTCCATGGTAGAAATGTGGAACCTTAGTTTCTTTCCCCTGCACATTAGCTCTTTATACTTCCTAACCCTCTTGATGGTATTGTCCCTGAATTAGGATAGGAGGAGGTCCTCTGAAGAGTGACAGGGACCTCAGCTCATTAGGCCCACTTGGTAGGTTATAGGTTGGCTGACTTCCATTACAGCAAAAGAACTTTAGGAATATTACTATAATTATCAGAAGCCTTATTAAAGAAAGTAAGAGAGAATGGAAAGAGACTACAGCCAGAGTCACTGGGGACATTTAGACTGATGAAGTTTCAAAATGGCCTGCTCACAAGAAGGGACCAGTTTTATAGGTGCTGAGGTGGACTGAGATATAATTGATCATTATTTGGGTCCTGGTTTCATAGTTCTAAGAATCTGTGACTTGCAGGACAGTTTGGTTCCTTTAAGATGTTTGTGCTTGCTTGGGACTGGGCTGCATTGATTCCGTTGCTTCTGCATGGGAGGAGGTGAACCTGTCCATGAATGGTCTGTAAGGCTCGCTCAGCCTTTCCTGGAAACCTAGGTGATTGATACTGCTTTGAAGACTTGTAGGCATTGTTCTAAGGTGGGGGGGGGGATTTCTGGACATTGTGAAAGCTGGAGTTAAATATTCCTGGAAGCCCTGAAAATTACCTTATTCTTGTGTTACTGTCCTCTGTCTGAGTAAATTTGGAACCAACAGCCTTGCAGTGCAGACACACTCTTAAGTGATTATCATGCCTAAGTGCAGAGCTAAGCAGCTGTCGACACACAGTTTTTAAGGTATTATGAGAGACATACGAAATGAAGGCAGAGATGCCAGGCTTCATCCTGCTTTTAGTTACTCATTTGGCACCTGCAGGTCCAGTTTCTATGTCCTTGCTACAAATCTTTTCTTGTCTTAGTTTGTCCCTCAATGTTGACGGAATGAGGGTGTTGGCCAATACACTTTGTATGTTTTTTCTCCAGGTTAGTGTATGAGAAAGGAATAAGCTAAATTTTTATTTTCTGAAATGCCTAGCATAAGTCTGGAGTAAAGAGTAGAGTACAGATATAAATAACTTGGATTGAAGTTGCAGTTTTCTGAAAAATAATAATTTTTAAATTACAATTTTTCTTGTCTGCTTTCTACCTATCTTTATTTCTACCTCTGGATCATCGTTTATCCCATCATCCAGATCTGAAACCCAGAGATGATTCTAGACTTCATTCTTTCCAGCCAAGTATTTGAACTCTTCTTTATACTTCTCCTGTTGTTTGAGTATAGATCTTTATTATTCCATACTGAAACAGACTTATACTCCAATATGTTTAAAAGAAGCCAGCAGGTAATTAAATGAGTGAAGGACACTGGACATGAGAAAGGGGAACGTTTGTGGATTAGCTGGGATGTGGTATTGCAAGGAATGCCACTACTTCATTGTTCCTGCCTTCATTTTCCAGGCAGAAAGGGGAATTCACTGTTATTAGACCCAATCTTTGAAGAGCACCTGGAAATCTGGACTTGTGTATGAACTCTTCCAATTTGTAAATCACAGTGCAAGACATACAGTATATGGATGTAAGCGACTAGTTTATAAGCTTCATTTCTACATTATTTATTATTATTGCTAATATTGTTGTAGTACTGAGGGTAATTATTTTCCTTTTCTTTTTTTTTTTTTTTTTTTTTTTGAGACAGGGTCTCACTATGTAGTGCAGGCTGGCCTTGAACCCACAGAATGACTTGCAGTGGTCCTTCTGTCTCAGTCTCCAGAGTGCTAGGATTGTAGGCATATACCACCACATCCAGATTCCTTTTTTTGTGTGTGTGTTTTTGAGATACAATCTTACTATATAGTTCAGGCTGGCCTTGAGCTTACTTTGTAGCCCAGGCTGGTGTCCAATTTAAAATGATACTCCTGCCTCAGCCTTCTGAGTGCTGAGATTACAGGTGTGAGCCACCACACTTGGCTTTACATATTCATTCTTGAGACCTCCTGACCTGATTTATAGTCCTCTATTCTAATCTGTACTCCTAGGTTTTTAGTTTTTGCCATCATAATCTAATGAAAGTACAAATCTACAAGGTACAAAGTAACATTAAAAAAATCAATGTCTTTTACAAGAATAATGAACTAGCTGGAGGAAATCAGGAAAACAATTCCACTCATAATAGTTTCAAAACAAACAAGTAAATAAAATACCAGGAATCAACCTAACCAAGGAAGTCAAAGACTTGTAATGAAAATTAAAGAACAGTGAATACAGAATTGAAGAAGGCACTAGAATTTGGAAAAATCTCCCATGTTCATAGGTGGGCTAAATTAATATTATTAAAATGGCCATATACCAAAACCAATCTATAGAGTCATTATAATATCTATCAAAATTTCACTGATATTTACAGAAGGATGACCCTAGAATTCCTATGGAAACACAAAAGATTGAGAATAGCGAAGCAATCCTAAGCAAAAGTAGTAGTTCTGGAAGCATCACAATACCCAATTTCAAATTATATTAAAAAGCCATAGTAACAAAATAGCATGGTACTGCCACAAATGTAGACATAGATACTAGTGTAATGGAAGACACAGAAACATAACCCTGCAACTACAACCACTTGATTCTTGATAAAGGAGCCAGAAATATGTAATGGAGAAAAGACCACTGATAATAAATGGTATTGGGAAAACTGGGTGTCCACATGTAAAAGATTGAAACTAGATCCCTCTCATGTTGTGCAGAAATCAGAATGGATGAGAAACTCATATGTGACCAGAAAATTTGAAACTGCTAGGAAAAAAACACAGAGGGAAGACACTTGAATCCACAGGCCCAGGTAAGCACTTCCTGACAAGGACTTCCATTGCATCTAAAATTATAGCACAGATCAACAAATGGGACTGTATCAAATTTAAAAAGTTTCCTGTGCAGCAAAGGAAATAACAGTAAAGATACAGCTTACAAAGTGGAGAAAAATCTTGCCTAGCTATTGTTTTGACAGAGAATTAATATATAGAATATATAAAGAACTGAAGATCTTAACATCAATCAAATAGCTGTCAGTTAATAAGCAAATGAATTGAATAAATTCTTAAAACAAGTGCAAATGGCCACTATATATATGAAAAAATGTTCAACATTGTTAGCTGTTAGAGAAATCAAAACTACATGGAGATTCCTTCTTAGCTCAGTCAGAGTAACTATCAAGAATATAAGAATACGAAAAATAATACATGCTAGTGAGAATGGTAGGGGCACTTCTACACTCCTGGTAAGAATATAAATTAGTAGAGCCACTCTGGTGGTGTTCTGGTGGTTCCTCAAAAAACTAAAAGTATGCTGTATATAGCCTAACAAATTAAAAGGCTGCATGCATATGCATGTTTATTATAGCACAATTTATAATAGCCAAAGTATGGATCCAGGCTAGGCACCCATCGACAGATGAATGGGTAAAAAAAAATTGGTTTTATCTCTACACAATGGAAGATCAACTGTTAGTGGTATCTGTATCAGGGAATGGAGGAGTCTGGATGGAACATGTGAACAAAGGTGTCTAGTATTTTTATCAATCTGGGAATTCTAGACTTGCAAAGCATATCCTGTTCTTTTTCTAGCTAATGAAATGGCGTTAATAAAAGACAAAGTTTTAAACTCATGAAAAGGATGAATTTCCAGCATAACAAGCGCTACTCATCAGATCAGTCTTCGTAATAATTTGAAACTTCTTAGCTTTATGCAATTTAAATTTTAAAGACTGTGTCTGATTAGAAGACCATAGTTTTTTCTTGTTTTTTAAGTCATTTGTTAAAAAGATAACTATTTTATCTAGACTAAGGATGGGCCTTTGGCTTTTGCTTCAAACTCATCTCTTAAGATTTTTACCAAGTGTTATGGTATTTTCAAAATACAAACCTGTAGTTTTGTTAAGACAAAATAGTATAGTATGGAGTTTATAGAAACATTTTACAGAAATCTAACGTATTCCTAAAAAGATTTTATGGTAGGACTGGAGATTTACCTTAGCAGCATAAGTGCCAGCCTGGCAAGTGCAAGGTCTTGAGTTCAATATTCATTAAAAAAAACAAAACAAAACAAAACTTTATGGTTTAGTTCTAGATGGTGTCAAGGACTGATGGATCTCAAGTCCCAAGGTGGAACATTTTGGATATTAGTTAATTCTTAAGGTTTTTTTTCTCTCAAAATTTATTTTGTGATATAAAGTGAACCATTGTGATACAAAGTGATCCCCCAAAATGAAACTTAATCATCTCTCGAGACCATGGCTCTGGAATCATTCAATCCTAGAACTGACTCAGTGAAACTTGTGCTGTCAGTAGCTGATCTTCAAGGCTTACAGTACTAAGGCTGCAGCAATTCCACCTGGAGGTGGCCCTGGCCCTTTTCTTATGTCTCTATCACCTGTGCCTCCCTTGGCTGTTCCTCCAGTACTTTAGCCAGTGGTTTTCATAGACTAGCTGATATTCACAATGGCAAAAGAAGAGGGCTTTTGTTTAATTTCAGTAATTAGCACCTCAAAGACAAAATGATCTACCTGTGTATGCTCACCAGTGTAAGGCTTTCCCTCCTCAGTCAGATTTTACCCCCCCCCCCCCCCATGGTATCTGTAGTAACTTAGGAACTGGCTTAATGTTTTGTGGTGATCAACTTAAATTCAGGCAAGGAATTCCTCAACCTACAGGTTTCAGGTGTTCACAGCTTTTAAACAGTCTCCTACAGTCTTCATTTGTGGTGCTAGTGACATTTTTAAAAAAAATTTTATTTAAAGAAAGACTAAACAAAATAGAAAAATGGGTAGAAATAATATATACGTTCAGAGAAAAAAATAAATCACTAGTTAATGTTTACATACTGTCCTTTTACAAATAGAAATAGTTGTTCATGATACAAAAGTGGAACACGTAAAGTGGGAATTCAAACAGCAAGACTGCAAACAGTTCTGTTCAACTATCCAACAAAATCTTAGTAATATGGTTGTCAATCCTTTACACTTCAACATACATGCAGTTATCCATATCTTCATTTATGTTGAGATTAAACAAACCAAAGCAAGCTAAAATGATTCTGAACAAAGAATAATAGTATTACTGGATTTCACATCATGACACTCCAGGATCAGCACTGGGTACTGTAGTGTCTTTTTAAACTTTTATTTAAAGAAGGTAAACAAAACAGAAAACAGGTAGAAATAATACATACTTTCAAAGAAAAACAGAAATCACTAGTTGATGATTACAGATTGTCCTCTTACAGATAGTTTTTCAAGATCCTAAAGTAGAGCATCTAAAGTGGGGATTCAAACAGTGAGACCGCAACCAGTTCTGTTCAACTATCCAACGGAAACGTAGAAATATGGTTATCAATCCTATACACTTAAACGTACATGCAGTTATCTATATCTTCAATTATGTTGAGATTGAACAAACCCAAGCAGGCCAATATCACTCTGAACAAAGAATAATACTATTGCTGGGTTTCACATTATGACACTCCAGGATCAGCACTGGGTACTTTAGTGTATCTTTTTCTTGAAAGTATCTGTTCATTTCTGTTTTTTAAAGAGAAAGAAACAACAACAACAAAAAAAAAAAAGCATGGAGAAAAAAAGGGTAGCAATAATACAAAATTACAGAAAAACAGTAAGAATTCACCAGTTGATAAGTTACATATTGTCATCTTAGAAATAGTTGTTCAGGCTACAAAATTAAAGTATGTAAAGTGACATTCAAATAGTGACACTGCCAACAGTTCTGCTCAGTGATCCAACAAAAACTTAGTAATATGGTTATCAGTCCTACACACTTGTTTTTTATCTTAAAGAGGGTAAGATTAAACATATCAAAACAGAACAAAATAGTTCAAAAAGAAACAATTTAAAGAAATACAGATTTCTAAGCAAGTCCACTAGAGATCTTCACTGTCTATCGTATTGTCTCTAGTTTTCTTCCAAATAGTTGTCCCCATCTTCATACACATTGAATACATACTGCATATTATAGAACTAATCAAATCATTACAGGATGATGAAGGCTTTTTAGGTCTTTAAGATCTGACATTGGGGAGGACAATAATGACTGCCATAGAGTCTCATTCTTTCGTAGTAGCTGTCCTTATCTTTATGTGTGCTGAAATTGAACTTAAGAGACTAGACTAATATCACTCTGAACAGTGAATAATAGTATTGCTAGATTTTATATCATAATGCTATAGAATTAGCATTGGGTTTCTTAAGTATCTGTTCCCATAAATAGTTTAAAAATTCTTCCCATGTGTGAATTTCTACATGTATATCTATCTTCTCTGTATTATAGGGAAAAGCAAATCACAACAAGACAGCAAAACAAATTCCTAGAAAAACATGCAATGAAAAAGACACATAAGACCACAATATTAGGTAATCTACTGTTGTTACTATGCTTTCTCTTATTTTCAATAGACTTGTCTACATCATCAGGCTTAATATAGTTAAGCCTAGTATTATATAGATATTTTTATAAAAACACAACTTTGCAAACCTTGTAGGACTTGAGAGCTGTTAATAATCAGAACCGGTACGGATATCTTTTACATCTTGTCATCTTCAGAGTAGTTGCCTCTACTTTTAGACTTGATACTATCAAGCATACCAAATTTGAATAAAATCAGCCAAGGCAAAACCGCGGTCTAACAAATCAGATTCAAATAAGATCAGTCATAATAAGACAATGTAATTAACACAGGGTTTCAGTTTAAGTTAATAGGAAATTAAGGGTAGTTACTATGGTATAACCTGCTATTTTTGGGTTAGATGTCTGTGACCTCAAATCTGATATGAGTGGACAGACTGGAGCAAAATAAATTCAAACTAAACAGAGTGATAAGACTACTATGACTTTTAAATCCTGATACACTATTAACAGTGACCTCTGCCTTTTTTTATTATAGTGTATCAAAGCTATCTATATATATATATATTTTTAATTTAAGAGGAAAAAGAGAAAAACACAAAACAAAACAAAGCAGTGTAAGGTTACACATAATGCAGAACTACAAAAAAAAAACATAACAGTAAGAAATCACCTGTTAATAGATTACATATTATCATCTTGGAAATAGTTGCTCAAATCAGAGTATCAGAGAGACTTCAAACAGCTGTGTTCAATGATCCAAAAACATTAATATAGTCAGCTATTTAACACCCCTAAACACACTTGCTGTTATATCAGTTAGATCTCTCTTTTTTTTCCTTCCTCTCTTTTTTACAACAAAATTTACACATTTTGGATATTATTACTCCTTAGTTCTTATTACTTTTTTTGGGGGGGAGAGAATAAAGTCAAATATGGCAAAACAAAGCTGTCAGTCAAAACAAAGGATAGACATAGCACATGATGTAGAACAGTACAAGGTTATTAACAATGGTTATCAACGTTGTCTCTTGTTTCCTTAAAAAGATTTGTCTATCTCATTAGATATTATAAAGTTGGACAAAACAATAGAGAACAAGACCAATAAAACTTAGGCATTGTAAACATTACAGGACTTCCAAAGTAGACAATAGTCAAACCAGAATGGGCATCTTAGTGAATCTTATTGCCTTCAAAGTAGTTGCCTATACCCTCAGACTTGATACTATTGCACAGAATGGAACAGAGTCTAATCAGTCAAAACAAGATCGTGGGAGTATTACAGGACTTCAAAACAAGTTAATAGGAAATCGAAAAGAGTTACTATTATATATCCTAATTTTTAAAATTTTTCCCTTAATTAAAATAAACATAAGAAATAACTAAATAATTTTTTTAAAGAATAGTAGTTACCATAGTGTCTGTCTTT